GTTATGATCGGTTCGGTTCAGATCGGTTTAATTTTGGTTTGGATTTGATTCGGTTCTATACATTTTCCGATTATGGGTTGGTTTCGAGTTGGTTCAGATACGATTTGGATATAAATCAGTTTGGATATATTTCAGTTCAGATATAATTTTGATCGAATATATTTCGGTTTCGGATCTAGTTCGGTTCAGATATACTCCGTATATTTTATTTCTAATTAAAATTTAATTATCCATGTTTCTTTTTTTTTATTATCATATTTATCAATTTATCATCATTTCAACACCTTATATTATATTATATTTTTTAAAATTATACTATCACCACCCTAAATAATCTTTCTTTTTTGAGTTTTTAGTCATATTTTACAAATTTGAACTACAAGTTATGAAAAAATATACATTTAATTATGATATAAAATTAATATGATTTAATTGATTTAAAAAATATAAAAAAATTGATTTTCAAATTTAGTTTGATATACTCCCTATGTCCTATATCTTTTTTCCCGTTGCGCAAAACGAAGAAAAATTCTAAGTTTTTTCAATCTATTTTATTTAAATATTGGTATAGAAATAAAAAATAAAACATATATATTTAAAAAGTAAAAACTACATAAAAAGTTTAACAAAACAAGTGGTGACAAGAATATTTTATTTTATCATATAGGCCATGAAAAAATACAAATAAATATAAATCCCCGTTAAGTTGGAATAGTGCTCTGGGAAGAAAGTTTTAGGACGGAGGGAGTATCAAATATTTATCACATCTACTAATATCTTTATGTTTATAAATGCAAAGATAAAATATAAATTTAAATAGTGTTACACTTCAATTGAATACAATTTGGTAAAAATTGAGTGAAATTAAGTGAATTTTATTTAATATTACTCTTAAAAATTGATAGAGTTAAATGAGATTAATACAATTGAGTGTAAATTTATAAACTATAAAATTCAATTTAATAGAGTTGGATATAATTAAATTTAGGTGCTGTAGATCAAATTCGAATATGACAACACTAGATACTGCCGCTAGAGACCTTTTCAAAACAATAACGCTAATCTTTATCAACATTGAATAATATTGGATGAATTGGTTTAAAACTAATCAAATTAACTCCCAAACCAATAAAATTTATTGTAATTGGGTGAAATTAGGATAAAATATTGTTTTTGCATACAATTCATCATATAAACCTTCCGTCTCAAAAAGAATATCACAATTCACTATTTAAAAATTACATAAATTTTATTTATTTGTGCATTTTCATTAATTATTTAATAAAATAAACTATTATTTTTTGAGTTGTGAAATATTATAAGTAATATTTTCAAGGAGGGAGTACTTGTTCATTAGTCACCATCTTGGTGCTACTAAAATTGATGTGTCCCAAATTTAATTCGCTTATGGCGGACGGCATGCATTTGCACATGGCAGGTTTCGCAAGTGTGCAGTCTTATGGTAGGTGTGGGGTGATGGGTGAAATATTGAAATAGTCAAGGATATGGAGTGATAAAAAATGTGTAGCATGGTGAGATGAAAGGAAGTGATTAAGGATGCATTCCAACGATCTGATCTAATTTGATTTTTGAATTTTGATGTGATCTGATTTTAATAAGAATAAGTTATAAGTAAAAAAAGTTAAACGGACGTTGCACGGTCGTGCCAGTCACACCCGACCGTGTCTTGGGCAGCACGATCGTGAGACGGTCGTGACGACAATGATACTTTATTTTATCAAATAATTCATAAAAATGTATAGAGTAATTTTTTTTGTGATTTTTAAATAATGAGGTGGATTACTTTTTTTAGACAATGGGAGTAGCTATGAAAACGAAAAGGTTGTTGCGGAGCATTAATGCACTTGTTGACGTTTCTTATCTCATTGTAAGAGCCCAATCTTGATTTTGGAGTCGGAAAAATCGTTCTGATCCTTTTAATTTGTTTTTATATTTGAAAATCTAGTACATTTTTTGTTTTATTTTAAGGTATCTGTTTTAATTTACGATATTTAACTAAATTTATTTTTAATTAATATATTTAGGAATTGAAGTAAAACTAAAAAATACTCCGTAAAATTTATGTGTTTAAAAATTACGTCAAAACTCTTTTTAAATTTAAGATAACATGATTATATTTTTTATCAAATATATATAGTGAAAACCATTAAAAACGAGTTAAGCTTGACCCTGTGAACAATAAGCATGCAATTTAGTTAATTTAGAACGAAGAGAGTACTATCGAAGAGCAATAAAATTACTTGCGCACTACTCGGTGTACACCTAACTGTACACCAAGCAATCTTTGTATTGACACGCTGATTATGACACACTGTCACAAAATGCTAGTGTAAAATTTTAGAGTAATGCTAGAGTCACAAACAAACAGTTCACAAAATTCACAAATCTGCCTTTTTAACACTTTCCTAAAAATAAGATGCACTCAAAAAATAAATAAGATTTTAATTTAAAAACCAGAGAAAGTTTGTGAAATTTGTGAACTATATATTTGTGACTCTAGCATTTTTCAAAATTTTATGATTGTATTGACATTTTGTACCGGTGTATGTCTTTAGTGCGCGAGTGAAAAGCACTAGGGTACCCCTAGTGATGTGTACAAGTAGCACCATTGATCAAAGAATTTATAAAGAGTTCGTATTTATCAATCTATATCTACCTTGTATGTGCGAATTTACCAACACTATGTTTGGTTTAAAAAATTTAAGAGGAAAAAAAATAAGAAGGAAAACGTTTGTCATGGTTAGGGAGGAAAACAAAAGAAAAGTAGAAAAAAAGAAAATGAAAAGATAAAATATACTAAAAAGATGTAAAATTAAATTTCTCCCATTTTTATGAGAAACTGAAGAAAAATCATTTTCTTCTTAATTCTTTGAACCAAACATAGTACAAAAGATCTGGATGTATAATGTTTAGCTGTTTTTAAAATTCAAAAAAACAAATAACGAGGTGTTAAATTAAAGCGCCGTTCCAAACATGGCTCTACGTATATTTGATCATTTTACTTGACTCATTCAGTATTTAGAGTGATTTTTTTTTCTTCTTCGTTTTTTTCTTTTTAGTTGTTTCGTTACTTATTTGATATCCTGAAATAATATAACTACGAAGTATGTAAATTTCTTTTTTATACTCCATAAAGCTTTTAAAATACTCCCTCCGTCCCAAAAAGATTTACACGTTTCAAAAAAATTGCATCCCACAATCTCCTTCTTATTTCTATTAAAAAACCACTTTTACCTCTTACTTTTTCAAACTCTACCTATCACATTATGCCTTTTTCCTAATAATCTACACATCACATCCTACTTTTACCCATCACATCAAGGATATTTTTGGAAAGTCAACACAAAATTATCTCTCCCTTAATTTCAACTTTAGTCAAAACGTGTAAATCTTTTTGGGACGGAGGGAGTAATATTTAAATATTTTTTTAAATTTATGCTAGTTTTAAATAATTTAAATTAAAATAAATTTAATAAAACATCATAAACTAAAATAAACTAAAATGATTCAAATAAACAGAGAAAATAAACAGTTTATTTGGATAATGATGGAAGATGTGAAATGGGACAATTACACTACAACAAGCCTTTTCTTAGAGCCAGGGGTGGACGCGGTCCATGATGCAATCAGATTTTATCACAGAGCGTCCTTATTTAAACGGTTCAATATCGAAACGAGATGAACCTTAAAATCATACGGTACCATTCTACTTTGAAACGAAATGGTACAATACCATACTCATCAACCATTCTCAAACCGTGCCAAAAAATGAACATACATTGCTCAGAGAATATTGAAATATAAATACAATTTTGTATTAAAAAAAGTAAAAGTTTGTTAAAAATAAGGATTGATTTCGAATTTAAAAAGATCATAAACAAAAAATAAAAGATGATGAGTCCATATTTTAAAAATAGTTTTTTTCAACTTATACAATATGGGAGTATTAAAACTCCAAAACATAATGCTAATAGTAGTAATAAATATAATAACAACAATAATAATGAAAAAATATTAAAAAATGAATAATACAATGTGAAGTGCTCCATACACGGTAAAAGGAAGTAGATAAATAATTATTTCTGGTACTTCGTATATAATTGGTTTTAAATATTTGTATAATGGTCCCGTCTCGTTTGATATCGGTCTGATTTCAGATCCTGATGGAAAAAATCAGTCCCGTTTAAAAACACTTTGAACGATTCAGTACCATTACGGTCTGGTATAGGTACCATACTAGTTCAGTTTCTTGCCCACCCCTAATTAGGGCATCGACCCTTGTCGATTGCAGTTGTAGTTCCAGATCTTATTTCATATAGAGTACTTTGTAGAATTTTCGTTATGCTCGCGCAAATTGTACTTTTAAATTTATATTAATTTTAAATAAAATAAATCTAAAGAAGATAAATTTTTGTTCATTATTCGAAATCAAGCGATATTTTTGAGACGAAGCAAGTATAATCTGAATTGAAGCTCAAAAGTGACTGACACATAAGAAAGATATGAAGGATTTGTTTATTAACAATTTCATCATTTATTTTAGCATTTTAAAAAATGTTAATTACCTAATGACACTATTTCGTTTAATTAAAAATTACTTAAAAAACTACAAGTAATTAAGAAAAAACCTAGAAGTACTTCAAGGTGTTATATGGAGTATCTTAAATGTAAACTAATCTTTCACAGACACTCATTGTCTTTATGAAACACAGAGAATGAATATCTATGTGGTGTAGCGGGTCTTTGAACCAATTTTTCACTCCTCTTTGCGCGTGGACCTGCGCTATAAGGGAGATGCTAGGGGTACACCAAAGGTGTACCCCTTTTGTCCCCCACCCCCTCAATAACCACTCATTTATATTTAATTTTTATTTACTTATTTTTTTTAATTTTCTTGCCTATTTGAGTGATTATAGAGGGGTGGGGGACAAATAGGGACCTAGCATTTTCCGCGCTATAAATACGGTTTTGTAGCTGGTCTTTGAACTCATTTATATAGTTCCTAGCTGCTACCTCCACATTTGGTGCATATCAAAGGCTAGGCTAGCTAAATGGAGAGAGTTCCAATCAAGTTTGAGCTTTTGGTACTTCTTTTTGTGGTTGCCTCTTTTTGTGAGTTCTCTCTTCTCCCTCATCCCTTTCATATGTATGATAAAATAAATGAAAAAGTAAATATAATTTGAGAAAATTCTATAACTGGTTCAGTTTATTATATCAAGAATTTTCATATGGTCTTTTATTGTTAAATATTATGTTCGTGGTCTTTTTTTATGAGTACATTTCTATGGATAGTTTTTATTTTTATTATCTGTCATCTTGTTGTTAACTTAAAAGCTAAAAATATAATTTTACGGTCTTATATCCAAGAATGTATTTTGATGTCGGTTTGACAGAACATTAGAACAATAATAATTATGGCTATAGACCAAAATTTCAACATGAAGTGACATGTATAGACAATGGTTGCATGAGACGATGACTCTAGTTGAAAAACAATGCATCAAAGACTTCTGACATTGGTTAAGAATGTATCCATAAAATTAATACTTTAAGAATGTATCCATAAAAGAAGACTAAATACAAACACTCCCTATTTTACACTATTAAATTTTTATCCAAAATTTTAATAACGCTAATTGAAAATGTTGTTACCACACAAGGCTCTAGGGTCTGTTTGAAAATACCGTTAGAGCTTATCGTCAACATTTTGAAAAGACTACGAACAACGTTTAGCGTTAGCGTTTTCAAAGTTAATCTACACTGGTATATTTATATCTAAAACAGTAACGCTAATCGAAAATGTTATTCTCAAACGGTGCCTTAATCAATCGAATTTGATTATTCAAGATTGAACTTTTTTTTTCCTTTTCTAAAAGACTCCATATTCTATTATTTGCAGTGGCGCCGGCGGGTTCCATACCTCTCCCACAAATGAGCGTAGGGCCAAACAAGAAGCAAGTGTTCCTCACCGGGCAGCTCTGCCAGTCTCACAATGACTGCAAAGCCGCCAACACCGCTTATTCCGGCCACTTCTGCGTCAACAACAATATTGCTGGATCTGACATGATGGGCCATTGTGTTGGATTTGATCCCCGATTAGGTATTACGAGGTTTGACCGACTTTATTTTTAATTTAATTTATTTGATTGTAAGAGTAAAATTAAAAAATAGATTTTATATATTTAAAAACTACATCAAAAGTTATACAAAACGAGAGATAACAAGATTATATTATTTTATCAAATAAGTAACGAAAATAGACAAGGAAAGTGATTTAAGTTTGACGGTGTGAATAATAACTGGGAAGATAGTTTTAGGACGGAGGGAGTATATTTTTCAACCATGCTAGGATACACCAAAAAAATGTATCCTACCGACATTTTAACGGTTCACACCGGGACAAAATGTTAGTTCAATTAAAAAAATTGAACAGACATTTTTTTGTCAATGTAAATCACCACACTAGTACATGATGTCGGTGTATGTCTTTAGGGTACAAAATGGAGTACAAGTTTTGGTGTACAAGTAGTTTAATCTTATATTTTTATATATTAAAACTTAATTTACTTCGTCTAAGGTGATTTTTGGGTTGGTTCTGAGTGACCCGAGCGGCTTGGATCACATATCTGGAATCATTTTTATCTTCACCAAACATCTTTTATTGAAATTTGATAAAAAATTTTATTCACCAAAGAGACCCTTATACTATGTTTGGTTCAAGGAATTTGGTAGGAAAAGAAAAGAAAATGATTTTCTCTCATTTTCCTCGCCAAAATGGGAGGAATTTAGTTTTCCTTCATCTTAGTACATTTTGTCTCCTCTTTTTCTTTTCCTTCCACTTTTCTTTTTTTCCTCTCTAACCAAATAAGAAAAATATTTTCCTTCTCATTTTCTTTTTTTTTCCCTCTCAAATTCTTTGAACCAAACATAGTGTTAGTTTCCTATTTTGAAGAATTGGTGCAATATTACCATTTTTTGTTTTTCTTAATTTCATTTTTCAGATACAGAGCTGAAGAAGAAAAAGAAGCCTGCAGGCGGTTGCGGAAAGTGTGAAACAGACGCGGATTGTAAGGGGTGCCCGGCAGCAGCCGCGTGCGAGAAAATTATTTTGAAAGGCTATTGTGCGTGAATGTATTTCTGTCTGCTCGGAGCGTGTGATTTCCACATACCTTTATGTAATACGGAGTAAAAAAACTCAATGTATTTACAATAACTATTACTATGGGGTCAAACAATTTTTTTTGTCATTTTTGTAAATTATCTTCAATGTAATATTTATAAATAAACTTACTTTATCCGTCCACAAATAAATTTCTTGTTGCGCGTTATGATGTTCGACTGAAGTTATTTTTAAAGTATTTTATATGAAAAATGATGTGAAATTTTAAAATAAAAATTACATATTAAAAAACTATATAAGAAGATCTACAAAAGTAGAGGTGACATGACTATATTATTTTATCAAATGAGTAACGAAAATAGGCCAACAAAGTGAATAAAGTTTGACCCCGTGAATAGTGGACGGAAAATTTATTTGCGGACGGATGGACATTTAAAACTATTTTATGGTTTGGGATTCATGAACATTTAATTTCATTCAAAAACTCAATTGTTATCTAATTTCCATCAACACCTACATCTGCATTTTTTGGCATGAAGAATCAGAATTCAAGTACTCCTTTTCATCGTTACGGATGAAGGATATGACACATTCATTTATCATTTCAACTACTTTGAGAGTTGGTGTTAATAGTGCCTTGTTCTAAAAAAAGAATATTTATTCATACTCTCTAATACTCTCTAAAAAATTTTTAAAAGTTTAATAATTTGATTTTTAACAAAAATTAAAATTTTAGTTTAATCTCATGTCTATTTCTATATGTAGTATATTAAGTATATAATCCCGCTTTTATTTTTTTGAGTGCACGTTGAAGATTTATTTAAGTATATTAAATATTTACATAATTTGTATGGCGTAACTCATTGTCTTCCATAAATTTCTAACAATTGTTTTTTAATTTTTTGTTATTGCTTTACCTAAATACATGAGAACTTGTAAAACAATGCCACATAAATATCTCCACATGTCAAATTCTTAGAATTAGGAGTCTCAAATTTATATATAAAGGATAAAGGATATAATCACGACATTGAGTTTGGTTGGGTTTTTAAACTTAATGTTTAAACTCAAATAAAATCCGTTTTTGAACTTAATGTTCAATTTTTTTTTGTTTTTTTACTTTTTTTATTCTTAATTTTTAGTTTTGAGTTTTTTTATTTTTAATATTTGACTTATAATTTGTAATCTTTAAGTTTTTAATTTTAAATTTCTAATTTTTTATTTTTAGAAATAAATTAAAAATTTCAAGTATTGATTTTTAAATTTAATTTTTCAAATTTTAAATTTTTAATTTAAAAATATTAACTTTTAATCTTAGATTTTTATTTCTTAGTTTTTTATTTTTAATTCTTTAACTTTTAATTTTGAAATTGTAACTTTAAGTTTTTAAATTTTTAATTTTAAAAAATTAATTTTGATTTTACTTTTAATTTTTTAATTTTTTTAATTTTTAAATTTTAAGATCTAATTTTTATTTCTTAGTTTTAATTTTAACTTTTAAATTTTAAATTTTAAATTTTAAAGTTTATATTTTAAATATGTAAGACCCAAAATTTATAAGACATGTTTCATTTTTGTGATATGAAAAGGATTCACTTGATTTTATTTTGACCCGCGGATTTTGAATCATTAACTTTATATTCTTTTCCTCTGTTATAGAATTTACCATCTAGAATTGGTAAGTTTAGAATTTTTGTTTTTAAATAATAATAAAAGAAAAAAAAATTTAAGAAAACATTTTTCTTCCTACCAAACAATGAAAAATAGGATTGAAAAATAATTTTCCTTGGAAATCATTTTCATTTGAAAAATATTCTTTAAAGAAAGTATTTTTCTCACAATTAAACACAACCTCAATTTATAAATTTTTTATATAATTTTAAATACATAATTTTATAAAAAAAGTTTTGTATCATTAATTTCATCAAGATTGAATTTAATATAACACCATTCAGGTTTCATAAACTGAGCAAATTAATTTTGGAACAGAACAAGTAGAATTTAAATCTTTCAGCGATTACAACGAACATAATGAAATGCATAAACGTAAAGCACCCCGATTTTCATTGCACTCGATTCCAATATCGGAGGGGAGCGTCGCCGAGGAGGGGGAGGCAGAGGCAACGATTAAGAGAAGGGAACAACTAGTTGGGTTCAGGGCCGGTCCTAGGTCTAGAAGGGCCCTGTGCAAAAGAAATATTGGGACCATTCATGGAATATAATATGATAATTGAGGACTAAATTATTGATATTTGATATGTAGAGATTAAATATGCAAAATGAAAGAAATTTTCTCTATTTTTTTACTCTTTGTTCAAAGAACAAAATTATTTTTAAAAGTTGTTCCCAATCATTTGTTCTAAGTTGCTCACAAGTCACAATATTTGTTCCGTCACTCACGTACAAAATTGAAGCTTGGTTTCATTCCGCATCGAGTATCAACTCCTGGCGACAGCCGAGTCAATGGAGGCAGCTCTCGGATTGATGAGAAGAATGCCGCCGAAGCACATGGAGACGGCTCTATCCGCATTGCTCAGCCTCTTGCCGGATCATTCTTCCGATCTCCTCTCGCAGTTGGATCAGCCTCTCCAGGTAACTCTCTTTTAGGTTATAGAAATCTTCGTCTGCACAAACGTCCATAAATGCTTCTGTATCTTCAATACATTTTTGTTTAATTGATTTTGTTGACATAAGGAGTTGGGAGTTTCAATCCATTAATTTGTTTAACTGAGCGACATTTTCACTCATTTTGAGAAAAATTTCAATGAAGGTTTTGTTTTGTTATAGGGTTTAAGCCATGTAGTTAATTCACTTGTCCCATTTTGGAGTGTGCTTGCATTTATGTAATGGTCTTAGCTCCTTGAACCAGCTTCTATGAAATCTAATGAGTTTGTATGGAAGGATGAAAAATGAGGAAGAATTCATAGAGAGACAGAGAGGGAGAAAGAATCCGGGATAGAATGGAAACCTAAGACTACTATTTATAGTTGTAACCCAAAGTTGTACTCCCCACATCCCACAAAATGCTTCCCTAACGGAATTGACAGGACTATTAAGAAAAGTGAAATTGTGTGGTTAAAAGTTGTCCAAAGTAAAGAAATAATATAAGCTTCAAAAGATTCTTATAAATATAAAGTGAAACCTTTTTGTCGGGACGAATGAAAAAGAAAATGTGGAACCTTTTTATGGGACGGAGGGAGTATCATCCAAACAGAAGCTATATACTCCTACTGGTGTAATATTACAATGAGTGCAATGAATTAATCTGGAAAATGGTACATCTTCGATTAATAGGTGGTAAATTGTTCCATTGGACTAAAATTTACTAAGATGTAAACTGCAGTTACATCAAGCACTTCAATTGGCTTATATAATACGGAGTAACACACTATTAAGCCCCGATGGGGGGGGGGTGCAATTGTGCCTTAAATTTATATTGTAGCGGCTGTCTAAGTTAGAAAATATGCAATACATCATGAATCAAGGCTCCCAGATGCAACTAAAGCCTTGGAGCTTTTAAGCTATTAAACCAACTTGTTCAGTACTTCAGTCACCAAGTAAAGACTGAAACACTTAAGTGGAAGATTTCACGTTGTTCCTTACTTCTGCTGTAACTTGCCTATTATAAGGCTGTAGTTTAGCCGTTTAGGAATTGACCAACTACCTACTACCATGGCCTTTTCAGACCTATCCGTACAATAACATTTTCTCATTTTCTATTCTACCCACAAAAAGTTTCATTCTGCTCCGAGTATTTAAAATACCTTTTTAAAGTATTCTCGTCATAGATGTTGGTCCCACTACTTTCTGATGGCTATTTTCATCATGGTCAGTTATTTCTGCTACTAGAGTGTGGTCATCACGAGTCAATTCATTCCATTGTAAGTCTATTCATATAGATACCTCAGCCTTAGTGAGGCTAGGACATGAGTGGATGACTATTTTTTTTTTTTGCATTGGAGATTCTCATTGGCTTCTATAATGTCATAAGAGATATCCTTGCATTGAGAGAAAGCAGGAGAGATTGTTCTTATACTTCATAATGTATAGTTTATTTCAGATTTCTGTAGTTACCTGTGTGTTATCATGATCTTTGAATATGCCATAACTCAAGAATTTTTTGAAGCATATAATATTGATGAGCGTGATCTCTTGTTGGATACTTAGATAAGTCTCATTTAAAAAAAAAATTGTATATAACTATTTATCAGGTTATGTGTGATCTGGAAACTGGGAAGGAATTCATATTATGTGAATATAACAGAGATGCTGACTCCTATAGGTACTACATTCAGGTCTCATCTTGTATCATTTCTTCATTGATTTTACTAGAAGCTAGAATTATAATTCTGCTATCATGTGGTGGAAATGTTGTAGAAAATATCTACTATAATTTTTATTTGGAAAAATGTCTTAGCATATCTGTACTGATGCTGACTGACAGACCATTGCTATGTTCTCTCTGCTATCCAGTTTACCATGTCAGTATTATCCATGACATATTATGGAGCCTAGCCAAAAGTTTGACATACAAATATGGCAGATGGTGCTGTGGCATATGGTGGAAGCAATGTGGAAAAGATAAATTATTGTATATACCATATATGTTGTATACATATATAAAGTGCATAAATAAAACCTAACATTGAAAACGTAACATATGTCAAGAGAATGGGATTATGGGAAAGCAGGTATTCTCATGAAAGGTGTCATTAGTCTCGTAAGCATTTGTTCACAGCATCATAAACTACTAATAGCCTCTTCTATCAAGTTAAAGGCTTTAAAAACATCATCTAAATGTTGTTCCAAAAATTGGAAGGGGACTAATGTCAAATTTTACAAGCTTGGACCATTATTTATTTTTATTATTTAAAAATACATTGAATGATAAAAAATGGTTCCATAATAAAAATGGAAAGTAGAAGAGTTGTTGGTTAAAGGTTTGGTGCGTGAAAGTTTGAGGCCGCGTGTATGCCTAGTTTTACTTACTCCAAAGAAGGATGCTTCGTGGAGGATGTGTGTGGACAACCATGCAATTAATAAAATCACCAATTCACCATCAAATGCGTGTTTACCTTCCCTCGGTTAAATGATATGCTGTATCAATTGGCTGGTTCTAGAGTATTTTCAATAATTGACTTGAAGAGTGGGCACCAGCAAATCAGGTTGAGAGTTGGAGATGTGTGGAAGACAGCGTTCAAGACT